CTTGATTTCGATACATTAAAAAATATCAGATATCCCTCAAGCAAATTACACTCACTACCCTATATAAATTTAATGAAAACATTTATGAATCAACAAGCAGTACAAACAAATTTAGAGAAGACAAAGTTAGATATTGAATGGATGCCCGTCTCACAACTGAAACGCGACACGTTATCACAAGCACAAGATTTATTGATTAAATTAAAAACTCATATTGACCAAAAACAAGAATTAGAACTACAACGTCGAAAAGACCAACAAGATGAATATAAACAATGTGCGGAAACAATATATAGTTTATCAAACAAGTATTATGCATTAATTCCACAAAAAGGTTATATCAATGAAAAACTGCCTGTTTTAACAACTGAGCAGGAAATAAAACAACAATTAAAAATAATTGAAGATCTATTAGAATTAGAATTGAATTATAAAATGTTATTGGGAGCACAAGCCAAAATGTCAAGTGAGTGTCGTATGAATGATCGTATTTATTTCTCGTTTCTGAACACAAGACGTTTTTCATCTCTTTAATCTTACAGTTCATTTATTACCGAGATTCTAACAGCAGATGTTAGTTGATATACTTGTCTATTTAGATATAAATCCTGTTGATTATTTATATAAGTCAATCGGTTGTCAGTTTCAATTAATGAATCGCGATGATATAGAATCACAATTAATCTTACGTTATATATGGTCTAGTGGTAAAGAAATGAAAATAATTTTATGTCCATTTTTTGTCTAAACACTATTTTTCTTTAGCGCCACAAATACATGTTGAACAAATATTTAAAATCTCTCGTCCCGGTGAAGATGATCGTTTATCTAAACACAAACTCGATAATCATTGGTTGTTATGGCACGGAACAGGAATATGTAATCTAATTAGTATTCTCACTCGTGGTAAGTTCATATATGACATATAATAATAAATTTTCCATCATTTTCTATTGTACTTAGGTCTGATTGTGGGACCATTAGCAGCAACATCAAATGGTTCAATGTTTGGTAAAGGCATTTATACAGCTGATTTATTTGCAAAAAGTTTAAGTTATTGCCATGGCATAAACACTAATGATACAGCTGGAGGAAAATCAAGACGTTTTATGTTATTGTGTGAAGTAGCATTAGGAAATGTCAAAGAAATTACACAGTGTACGGATGAAGAAAAACATATTGATTTTGAAACACATCAAAGTTGTAAAGCAATCGGAAGATCTATACCTGATCCAAAACATACCATTACGTTAAATGCTGTTACATTAAATACCAGTGAGTATCTTATTCTTTTCTAACACGGAATAAAATCTCATAATTATACATTTTATCGTATAGGTGTTCGTATGCCGCTAGGTAAAATAATTCCTAATCCTTCACTTGAACGTCAACCTTTTGCACGCATGCCATACAATGAATACATTGTTTATGATGAATCACAAGTTGCATTGAGATATTTAGTACAATTTTCAGAATGATACAGTGTGATAATTTTTTTTATTAAGTTATTACATACAAAGATATATATTTAACCGTCGAATGTCGTGTTTCATATTAATTTAACTTTTGTTCGTATGAAAATTTTGAGTGATATTGTGTACAGTTTGTCTGTTGTTTTTTTCTAACTAGCCGAAAAGGAAATAAATATATATGTGATTTCTATATACTGCAAGTTTGTCCAACTATTATTGATTTTTTTGTTCAGATTTAAATAGATTGAAAAGCTGTTTTCGTTTAATTGTTCTATTTATAGTGTTTTTATCACGATTGTTTTGTAATTAAGTATTTTTGTTCACTCATCTGGTTGTTCTCTTGCTTTTGTGATTTTTATAATTTTTACTTTTATTTGGAATGCATCAATGTATTTTTCAATAAAAACAACACATTAGAGTATATAGATTAGAGTTTAGTAAATCAACGAATAAAATATAAAAGGTCATGCCACGTCATCTGGTCGAAAACTTGATTCTGTAACATTTTGTGCTATTTTCTCGTTTTTATATTTTTTCGATCGAAACGATGTTTGGAGCTCGTGATTTTCTCGTATTGTGAAAGAAAGTGTGCTTAACAAAATGGCAAATCTTAGAGCTCTCTAGAATTTTTAGTTAATAAGATGTTGTAAAAATATTCAACACCACTCTTAAAAATTTTCAGTTTTTTAAGCCTCTCCCTCACTCAGAAATCTATTTTCAATACGGAACGTCAGATCTCGATGAAATTCTCAGTAAATGTTACTCATATCAAAGTTAGATTATAGGAAAGTTTTAAGCTTTATATCTCGCGTTTCCTCAGAGTTATTCATAAAACAATGGTCAGAAGTAGTAACGCTTCCGATTTCTTTGCAATTTTAAGTGCTAAAATTCTCGGATTGGTTTTAAAATGTAGCCAAGAAATGGCACTACAAGTTAACAGAGTCTGATTTTTGGTTTTCGGCTTAGTTTCTGAGAAAAATAAAAATTTTCCGAAAACTTCAGAAAAAAGTAGCTAGTTCTTCGGACACTTATTATTTTTCTCAGAAACTAAGCCGAAAATCAAAAATCAGACTCTGTTAGCTTGTAGTGTCATTTCTTGGCTACATTTTAAAACCAATCCGAGAATTTTAGCACTTAAAATTGCAGAGAAATCTGGGATGCCCCAACATCTACTGTTTAAGAAATGAGCATGTGCAAAGATATATGCGGCATATTCTTCAGCATATTCATTCACTTCAACGATACTTTGAGTAATTGGAAAACAAGAAAAAATCCATGTTTTATTGTGCGGTACCTTTAGAAAAACCTCCCAGAACGTTCCAAAATCCATCGCTAAGACTAAAAACTATAGTGCCTTCGAAAGCTGACACTTTGGTCTATCCAACAACGTATAAATCTCAAAAACGGCTTTCTTTTAGCGAGGGAGTGGAGAAGATCCTACACAAGATATATCTACGTTTTCTTGATATACTTCCATAACTGTGAAACCAATGGAACTCCGAGATCTGTCATTTTGTTAAGCACACTTTCCTTCGCAATTTGAGACAATCACAAGCTCCAGGCGCCTTTGATGCCTGTGTAGGGTGAACAGCAGTTACTGGAATCAAATATATATTAAATACTGCATTTCTTGTGAATAGAAGTTTAGATTTTTGTTTTTAAATTGAAAAAGACTACCTGAAAGAGGGTAGATGCATAGATCGTCAGTAATTTTAGCGACGTGTACAAATACTCATTTATACAACTAACGAGGAACACTATTCTACTGTAACACTTCTTTTTCATCGTTCATACGCTGATCGATAGAGGGTATCGGATAGTAAAAAGCCAAAAATGCGTGCCAATGACTCTTGAAGACCCAGTTTTCTGGAAAACCAGTGTTTCATAAACTCTGAAAAATAATCAAAACCTTTCCTTAGTGAGACATGATGTACCCCGCAAATTTCTGATTAAAATGAGACATCTCCCAGCTCTGCACAACCTTTCTTTGCAAAGTTATAGAATTTACAAGAAAAGTCCTAAATGTTCATTCTCAGCTCAAAGCTACAGAAATCAGAAGAATTTAATTCAGAGCTTTTGTTGTAAGTTCTATAACTTTGCAAAGAAAGGTTGTGCAGAGCTTGGAGATGTCACATTTTAATCAGAAATTTGCGGGGTACAATCATGTCTCACTAAGGAAAGGTTTTGATTATTTTTCAGAGTTTATGAAAAACTGGGTCTTCAAGAGTCATTGGCACGAACCCTTTTAAGCTTTTTACTATCCCGATACCCTCTATCGATCGACGTATGAACGATTGAAAAAGGAGTGTTACAGCAGAATAGTGTTCCTCGTAAATAGAATTGAGAACTCATCATGTTACTGCGCTTTATAATGCAAATTCTTGCCTTCACTCTTCTATTCTCATTGATACAGTTATTCTTAGATTTCATGATCCTTTCAGACTATAGTCAACAGACGGAATGTGACAACAATATCAACGTTACTCGCTAGTATCGATTGTTTCCCATAATGAATCAGTTAAGCTCCAATATAAACACAAGTTTCGACAAGATGCTGATTACATGTAAATATTTGAAATAGGTGCGCGTTTACTGCAATAATATGAACTCCATTTGATTGCTATTTAAGAGAAAAAAGTAATAAATATTTAGCATGTGTTTGGAAATGTCCATGATCTGTGTTTCGAATGAGTTCAGAAGTGTGGCTGAGGAAGCATAATTATGAAAGTAATACATTTGCTAGTGATAGTATGAACTAGTTATGAATGAAATGTGATAATCTCATGAAAACAAAACTTCTCCCCGAATACAATTTAACATTTTTATTGTTATTCGTCATGTTCATTCTAAACAGAAACAATTTAAAGGTATCTGTTAATTAACCGTCTATGGTATCTGGACTCCTTTCCCTATTAAATCTTTTCATAGTGTTCAGACACTTGTTATTTGTCACTATTATGCTATTATCTCACAAGAACAAATTGAACGACGTTTCACTTTTCTGTTATATGTCGAAAAAATTGATAATTTTTCTTTTCCATATACATAGAATCATCCAATCGCTTAATAATAAAAATCTTTTCTTTTTTTTCTTCATCTTGAATAAATTGTACATATGTACAGAATGTGTCTTTCTCGTTGTTTCATTTCATACACTTGTTTTCTTTTCTCATTCTATCCTTGCATTCTTCTGTGTACTTGCTACTCATAATTCTGATTAAAATTTGAATTGTTTCATTTGATATGATCTCGTACCATCAACATTTCATTTAATAAATAAATTGTTCTAAAAGAAGACAAGGCAATTGACAGTGATTATTAATTAAATTAATTTTTCTATACTATTCATTTAAAATATTGATTTTAAAACATGTGTACATCGATATTCGTTACATTTGATCAACTATGATATATATAACTGGAATTATGAGCCAATTCAAGAAAGTACAAATTATTCTGATTATATTTTTGTTTAATCCAAGTCAACAATGGCTGTAAGTAAAAATAATTTCTGTTGTTATAGAAAAAATGTTGTTCTGGAGACGGCTTATTCATGTAACTTTTACTGGTTTATTACCGCGATTTTTGCTTCTTGATCAACACATGCAGTCGCGTATAATTTTGTACGTAATAATCAAGGCATAAAAAAATGGCACATTACGATGGCTTTTCGATCTGTATTGTTTAGGAGATATGAGCGAAACTTGATACATAGTTTTCTTTTAACATTTTGTCGCGTTTAATGAATGTTTATTTTAAGAACATAAATCGAAAGCAACCTAATTGAACCATTTTGTTGCATAATTGTGTTGTGTACGCGGCTAATATATTGATTAAGTAACAGAAATCAAGGTACAACATTTATGCGGATGCATGAACAAAGAGATTGTCGATCGTTTAATTTTTTAATTCTCTTTGTCTATTTTATTGTTAAAGAGAGTTAGAAAAATCGAGCATGTTTAGAAAAATTTTAAATTAGAATAGTATAAGAGGATTTTTAATACTTTTCTAATTTTACTCTCGTTTAAAATTTAGTTCTACAAGATATATTTCTCGTGTTTATTGTTGTCAATGCCACTTTACTAAAAGTACTCTTTCAAGTTCGATTGAATCTATCTTTCTGTTGAACTTGTTTCTTATCATTCTTCTTATCAGTGTGAAGAATGCACTTATTGTGAAATAAAGTAATTCATTGTACATAAATGAAGTGTTGATAACTAGACACAAGTAATATTGATGTAACATGTATAATAAACGAGCTTTTGAACACTATATATCTATCTATCTACCTATCTACATGCACATAAAGTTCACTTTAAATAGCGACACGGCTCATTTAACTGATTCTGAGTGGATGGACTTCTCATTTTAATTATATAAAACATTCAAACTTCTCAGTCGTCTTATAATCTAAACATTTATGAATGTCTGAACATGATAAATGTATAATAACACATTGGTAAACAACTTTTCTAGTATTCATCGAATAATCTACTTGTTAATATAAACGCAATACCGTCATTATAGTAAATGTACACACATTTCAATAATGGAATCATACTGTTCCATCTAACTACAGTTAAAATAGTTCAATCTAAAATTAATCTTTTTAAAATCTATCGTAATAAAATATGGACATCTTTTGTCAATATAAACAAACTGTTTGATATTAATATTGTTACTTTTGCTCGTTTTATTGTCACAATTTCTTCAGTAACTATAATAATTGTCATAGATAATCGTGCTCTCTTGTAATATACTATCAGAAGTAAGTTACATTTATCACACAGTATTGCTAAATGTTTATTATTTGAAAAAAAAGTTCGATTATTAGATTTTCTAATATTAACAATAGAAAGTCTACTTTTTCTTGTTAGTGAAATGAAAATCAAATAATATAAAAGATTGTCTAGTGTACTAACTTTCGTTTTTTGAAATAGTAATCGACATTTTTTTTTTAACACATTACAATTAAAACCAAAGTTTGTTACCTTTTTATTCATATGTCGTCAATTTTGACATTGATTTCTTGCAAAAAATCAATTATCGGTTGTCGATTAAAATTCTATTTTTTATTATTATGATTAGACAAAACATGTACATACGGTTAAGAGTGTGAAAAAGAGTAACATTTGTTTATACATTTTATCATGTTTTTCGTTAACCAACTGTTTCTTCATAAGATGTAAACATCTAACTAGATTAACTGTGTTTGAAATTTGAATTAATGTTCGGCATGTTACGTAATGAACATATTTACTAATCTATAAATTTGAGTTTGATTTGCATAAAGAAATTCATTCATTATACAGAACAACTTGAAAGTAGAAGTCATACACGTTCAACAGGAAACAATTAGAATGCAAAGTTTGTCCTTCTTTTCTAGTTGTTAAACATACGAGAGTCTGAATTAATATAAAATGATTAATTAAAGATATACAACTACACATTTTTTATGACAGTAGCTTAAAAAACATTGGTAAGTTTATTAATAAGTCAATTTTTGTTCTATAGTTTGAAGTTATGAGCAGGATGACCAAAAATCAAAAACAATTATTAGTGCATGGATGATTAACTTGTATTGAAATATAATTATGTAATCGGTCTTTCTCTCCCCTTAGTTTTACATATGTTCAGAGCGTCAGATCCCATTTTCGGTCTAAGTATAAAAAAAAGATTTTTTCATAATGTTTTAATATATGACAAAATAATTTTATCTATACATATCTAGAATATCACGATATAGATTCATATCGTTTATCAAGGTGATTGTTATTCATCTTTTAGCCTATCTCTTACAAACAGGTGGCAACTGTCAATAAAATGTTGTTTCTCATGTCGTTTTGATTTCTCATGATCATCGTCATTTCATCTCCTTTTCTTTTTGTTGTTGATATTTTTTCATATCAGGAAACATTCGTGTTTTTGATTAAAATATTCATTTGAAAGATCAATGATGTGATAATATAAACAGACAGTCAAATTTATGTTCAACATTTATTTATATTTGTCTATTTTGATATATTATTATTTGTTTAACGTCTCGATGTTGATATATATTGTTTTATCTCATTTGACGGTAAGCCGATCATGAGAAAGACTTTTCACTATTTAAGAATAGTGTCGATTAAATGAAAACGAGAAGATATTTATTATTTTACATCAGACAAGTTTCTTTTCATACACTTTTTCGCTTACATCAGTTATTTGTTCTGTACATTGTTTTATCGTATAGATTTAGGAAAATCATCAATCCTAGATAAAACCGATCGATTCGATTTTTAAATTTAAATCGATTAGTCGAAAAAAAATTGTTTAGGCTTTTAGTTTGAGTCTTAACGTGGTCTGAATTAGGATGTCTTAATTAACATCAAACAAACATCAAAGAGCGACAAGCTCAATGAGAGTGAGGGCGAAAAATAGTGGTCTCAATTAAGAAGTCACCTTTTAGTTCTATGCGAGATAATATGTAGCTTTTGAAGTCTGGTACTATGAATCTCTTCTCTTTTTTATCTATGCTGCACATCTCTTAATCAATGATCAAAAGCTCACTTTAGTTGTACTTAACTAGTTTCTTCTATTACATGTTCGTTAATGGAGAATAGCTTGAAATTTGAATTCATCAGTTTACCGATTCTGTTATTTCTAGCTCTAATCATTTATATTACTGATATGCAGTCGACGTAGTTGCTTTTGTACTAACCTTAACTTTGAACCTATCGTTAAGAAGATAAGCATTTTGCTAAATAAAGTCATAGTTCATACTTTATGGTTACTGGTGCATTAGTTTATAGTTGTTTAGGTTTCTAGTTACAAAAAAACAACCTTTTTTCGGAATTAAATTGATCGATAAATTAGGATCAGTTTCTTTTCTGTGATGTATTCGAGGATCGAGTGATGATAAAATTAATTTTTTCACATTGTATAACTTTTCATTTTTGTTTTCCTTTAATTACTGTCAAGCTTATTGAAACTATTCGTATAAACGTGTACACATGTGCACTAAACGAATCTTATTGAAAAACAACTCGATATCGTGCAAACTTCTTATGATTAGGTCATCAGCTAATTCATGTTTAATATCCCAGTGTAGAGTTTAAGAAGAGTTTTTGTGACTTTTTAACTTTTGATAGTTGAGCAGCAAATTCATCTTCTAAATGAATCTGATCTTCTAAATCTTCTTTTTTTAATTTTTGGAACTTTGACAACGTGAAATCGTGATCAAAATTTTTTTCTTCTTCTGTTAATAGAAACGCTTATTACAAATGTTATGTTTTTATTTCATACGTCTCACTCATTTTTATTGAATACCGATTCGATAGTCAACTATCCTACGTATCAGATTTCAACGTAGCTTCCCTCATACATTGCTAGTAGACACTAAGAGATATATTTTTTTGAAGCAAACGTCATACTGATGTAGAGCAATAAAACAGCAGTTTCTATATTATAAAAGTTCCACAGTAATAGATGTTTTTTCTCCTCTCTTATTCGATAGCATTACTCAGAAGCGTTTCATGTAGTTTAAATTAAAAGAGAGTATCTTTTCGCTTATGATTACCAGTGTGTACTTCTCAAATAATATTACAGATAAATTCAAATGTTGATACACATGTTTGATAATAAAATTTTCACTACCAGTTCTGAATAGAGAAAAAACGAATTTTAAACGATATATGTGAACTATAAATTGTTCACTTATTTAATCGTCATAAATAAAAGATGAACAACAACAGAAAAACGAAAACAATCTAATTTTATGATAGTAAAAATATATTATTCTTCAATTGATCAAACTAGCAAAAAGTCAAGTACAACATAATTTATAACCATTAAGATTTGAATAAGAACTTCACTAGACAATAGACAAAATACATGTTAAATATCGTGTTTAAGTTCTAACTTGTTTTTCTCCTATTCAACTAACATTAACCTTTTTTTTCTTACTTTGAAGACTGTACGTTGAACTCGCCTCATGATCTTAATTTTTGGTACTTAACCTTAGAAAATATTAGATCTAACGTGTTGATACTTCTATTAGATGATATGAAATAAAAATATTTCTCAATATGTGGATAACGTTCATAATCTCAGCATGAATTCTTTATACACAAGTTTTGATCATTTTTGAATGAGAATAATCGTTGATCATCTAGAAAGCCGATGTACTGTTGCTTTCGTTAGATCATAGTACAAAGTTTCTATTGGCAGAGCACATAAAAAATTTTGACAATAGTTTGAAAAGAAAAAAGACATTTTTGAGATAAAAAGTATTTTATTTTACACTTGTAGATTGATCACTCAAGTATCTGACGTTGTATTAACGACACAAAGTTTATGTCACGCCGAAAATGGTCTCAGTCCAAAACAAATTCTGTTTTGTCAAAGACATTTGGATATAATGCCGTTTATTCGATTTGGAACAAATTTAGCATTGGAAGAATGTAGAACACAATTTAAAAATCGTCATTGGAACTGTAGTCTATTCTATGAACAAAAACAAATTGAAAATATACTCGATTCAGGTATGAAATGAAGATTAGATATTTCTTTCATACTCTGATAAATCTTTTTTTATATTAAACATTTAGGCACAAAAGAATCGGCATATGTTCATGCAATTACGGCAGCCGGCATCGCCTATGCCATAACAAAAGCGTGTTCAACGGGTAGACTGGCATCATGTGGTTGTGATATGTCGTTACAAAGTAAAAGTGATGGAACGACAAAATGGTCAGGATGTTCAGATAACGTTTTATTCGGATCAGAAATTGCAAGAAAATTTGTGAATTTAAGAGAAAGACCAATGAAGAATAAAACGAGTCTGTTAAATATTCATAATAATCAAGCAGGAATTAAGGTAAGCAAACTGAGCGTGTGACTATTCTTATTTTTAAACTATTTTATGTATGAACTTTTCTTTAGACGGTTCAAAGTGAAGTTGATCGTCAATGTAAATGTCATGGTGTCTCTGGTTCATGTGAATTTAAGACATGTTGGCGTTCACTGAGACCATTTCATCGTATTGGCAATCAATTAAAAGAAAAGTATGACGATGCCATTGAAGTTCGTTTACATCATAGCAAGAATAAATTACGTTTAATAGCCCGTAATTCACCATACGAAAGTCAAACAAAATCGGATCTTGTCTATTTGAATCAAAGTCCAAATTATTGTGAAAGAAATGTTACGTATGGTTCATTTGGTACCTATGGACGTTTATGTAATCGTAGTTCTCGGGCAATTGATGGTTGTGAATTATTATGTTGCAATCGTGGTTATCAATCACAAATTGTTACTTATCGTGATAAATGCAATTGCCGTTTTACATTTTGTTGTACAATTACATGTCAAGAATGTATTCAAACAAAAGAGATTAGTCGATGTTTATAATAATTAAAAAATTCCAAAATTTTTATTTTTATTTTTTAATTCTTGATGTTACATTGTTATCTGTTAATTATTATTACTTGATCCAATATACTTCTCAGTCTCTCAATAATTCCTTCAAAAAGCAAATAAATATAACGATTCGATGAATCGGCATTAACTTATGCACTCTTGCAACCTTCAAAACAGATTTGCTAAAAATGATACTAATTCTACATATCAGTGAATGCAAAATAAAAGTATTAGCCTCAATCATCTTACATACTTTCAGTAAAAAGCATCAGCTATCATGTTCTTTTGAACGAAATCAACATACTGATCGACACTCTGGAATTTGAGAGACTGTGAATGAAACATGGGATTTGCACAGGACCTTGAGTTTTGATGAAATCTCTAGGGTTATAAATTCACATAAATAGAAGTACTCTGGAGTTACTTTCGATTTCTCGACGCGGCTATGAAGGTGAGAAAGACAAGATAAATCCATTACGAGATCACAAATCTGAGATTTTAGATAGATTCTGCTAGAAAATTGAGAATTCTGACAGGATTCCATGAGAAATTGCTTGTATGGCTGAGTAAATTTCCAGAAAAGCTTTGATTTAAGCTGTTTATTAATGATGGTGTAAGAAAAGCTTTCATAATGTTGTATAAAATAACGTTCATGGAGAGTCGCAGAAGTGCTATTTTGTATTCAGCACACTCGATAATCCATAAGATTTTCTATTTTCCTTTTCATTCTTTAATCGCTCTTTGAAAATCTTACAGAAAAGTAAGAAAATTTGAACATTAATGAGAGTTACCTTAGAGCAACGTAGTACATTGTAAAAATAAATCAATAACAACAACTTTTTCTATATGTTTTCGTTGAAAAACGTCTCATAGTTTGTTGATGGAGACATTTCTAAAGCGTTTTTCGAAAGAGACTGAATTTAATCAAAATTGAGTCTAGAATACTATGTGTAGATGACGTATCTCTCCCGTAGTTTTCGAGAAGATTACCACGAAAAGGCAGAACAACAGCATTTAATTCATTAGGCTGTCCTCTATCGATTGACTCAAGTCTCAGGTGTGCAACATAGAATTTTGACTATTTTTATCTGAAAATGAAAACTTCGTATGTTACTCGAAACTCAACTAAATGAAATGATATTTGTAGATTGCAGACAGTATGACACACTAAACACGGTTCGAGAAATGTTTGGCTTTTACGCATGCAGTTTTTTTTGTCCAACTCGTGACAAATCAGCAGAAATGTGTTTCACTTTTCCAATACAAAAGTAAGTGCACTAAGTTTAGCATATCATACTGCCTACAATGAGAGCGTGTTACCTTCGTTAGTCGAGTATCTTTAAACTCGTCAATGATCTACACTACGCTCAAATAGTAAAATTTTGTTAAGAACTTCGTTTTTTCGAAGTTGAGGCTAATATTTCACTAATCAGTGATCATTTGGATGACTTTCCGTGAATTTGAATGAATTCACGTGAATTTTGAATTTATTTAAATTTAACGGACTAAACTCAGCTGTTTTCCCTTTGGTAAGATGACTGCTTCGTTCTTTGGGTTTGTTTCAAAAAAAAGATTTGCTACCGCATATCGAGAAGAATTGCGTTTTCTCAGAAACAAGTAGCACACAAAACATTAAAAACTGCACAAAAAGAGAACATTAGTTCACTTTACCCTCTGCATATACTTTACTATGAATCAGGGCACTAAACGAATCGAATGATTCGGCATTCGATTCGGCATTTTGCCGAATTTGATTTCAGAAACGTTATCTCGAATCGAATCGAACCAGTTTTTCCTGATTCGTTTCGGACTCTACTACGTATGTGATGCTGTTCTAAAGAATTTGTGTCTACAGTTCTGATTTAATTTTGAATTATTGAATATTTGCTTCGATTCTTTTCTCATTGGTATTAGCACAGGTACTTTTTTTACTACTTCATATTCGTTTGCATGCCTAGTTATAAATGAAATAATACAAAAAGTTAGTACATTGAACAAAGAAAATGATTGTTTCTCTTCGTGATTCAAGTATTTTATCGATAACCAACACACGCAATAATGGCTATTTACAATGCGTCAAATGATTCATTGGTTTGAGTTACTAAAAGTGAGAAACATTTTGTATTGAATGGAACGGTGCACCACGC